GCATTACCGTCAGCTATTCTGATGAGGAGCCCAACCCACTTCTTACCCTCCTAAATCATTGGTCCATGCTCTCCACACACACACACACACACACACACACACACACACACACTCTCTGGAGGTGCTCATTGTTTTGAGTTCACCTCAACACTTTGATGTGAAGGGTTCAAGCGGAGGCTCCCTCCTCGAGGGAGGGGGGGGGGGGGCAAAGAGCCGAATATTCAGCGTCGGAAACATCTGGGAGAGCGCCGCTAAGCAGGGCTCGCTTGGCAGGCGGTTGGTATTGGCACCGGCAACCTTCCTACCGGGGGCCTTTCATCTCCGTTTGAACATGTGGACTCGGCCCTAACCCTGGGAGGAGTCGGAGGGCTCGCCGCCAGCTGAGAGGCCGAGGCGTGGGCTCCCCGAGGAGGAATCCGGTTCTCCTGCTGTCCTCAGGAGCTCCGCCGAGCATTCCTGCTCTTCATCTTTTAACCTGTTTTCACTGATGAATCAGTTTGAACTCTGAGACCCTTGCTGTCAAAATGATTTCTAATGGCTGTATTTGGATGTATGGAATAATATGAGTGATAAAAAAAAGTGAAATATATAGTTATATAGTATATAAAAGTACAATGTAAGAGCTGCAACAGCTGGTTCGAAAATGATGACCTCGCGTGACCTCTCTGTACTAAAGCCTCTTATTCTTCACTTTATCCCAGCCAACCTTTATTCAGCAACTACTGATCGGTTGTGCTATGATTTGGGAGAGTTTTGAGGCAGCCAGCTGCATTATTTCAAAAACATAATATCAATAAAAGTGCTTTTATTTCAGGCGGACCTGATTATTTTCAATTTGAGCTGTGTAATATCTTCATGCACTATATTAACCAGCAACATATACACAATATTTACCCATCTGAATAAATCTCACAAGTGTTATCTGACCTTGTAGTTACAGAACTGTGGTCTCCTTAGTATGGGTATGCCATTTTCGAGCAGAGGCCTACAAATAGGGCCCGAGCTTATTAAGAGCCATTAGGACTTTTTATATTTCATATTCAGTTACATTTTTTTGCAGTGTAATTATTTAGCTGCTGAGCCAAAGAGAGTTAAATTGAATTACTGGAGTAATTACCGGCAGTAAAATATTAAAACCATGAGCTCAGTGTCATCGCTGTAAGCTATAGCCTCACCAGGTTTCATCCTAGAAGGACCCGCTATGTCACATCCGAGGGGTCACACACCCTCGACCCCCCCTCTGGTTCAGCTGTGTGTGAACCAAATGAGGCTTCTGGGTTCATTCTACACCAAGAAAATGTGAAGAAAAGAAGAACTATACTGTCATTCAACTTAAAATCTCCTCATATTTAGGTGCAAAGTCTATTAACCTTCGTGTATTTTCCACCGATAAATAACTCTTTTTGATTTACCCGTTAACTTCCAGCTTTGTCTCAAACTGAGATGCAACAAAGAAAAGATTTAACCAGACAAACGTCTCTGTTCTACATGGAACTGAGAGGATTTTAAGGATCATTTATTGTCATTATGCGACACATGGGTTGAAAAACAAAATGCAGCTGGAGCCCATTTGCTGCACAAGAAAAGAAACCAAACAAAACAGAAACAGAAGTGCATTCCTGTTGTGCTTTTTTTTTTGCATCAGGAGGAATGTAAACACACAGCAGAACAACACTCTGGGCAATATGGCCGACATCTCCTCATCCACTTGGACTATGTTTGAGCATCGAGCCCCACTCGTCCCACTGGAGTCCTGAGCTCCACCAACACAGACTACATGTGTTTGAGTCAATAACTCTTCATTCAGAATTTTTGTCGATATATGCAAATAAAGAATGTGATATCTTATGATTTTATGTGCAGAAACCAGAAGGTGGACCTTAAAGGGGACGTATCATGCTCATTTTCGGGTTCATACTCGTATTCTGGGTTTCTACTAGAACATGTTCACATGCTTTAATGTTCATAAAACACTTTATTCTTCTCACGCCGTCTGTCTGAGTATATTTGTATTCTCCTTGTGTCTGAAACGCTCCGTTTTAGCGCCTGTCTCTTTAAGCACAGTTGGTTCTGTTTGTCCACGTCTGTGCTTTGCTGTCTTTACAGCAGAACTATGGAAATCTTGGCTGAATACGGGTTGTGTGTGATTCTACATGGATTTAGTGTTTCGATAGTATTTAAGTAGCACCCAGACCAGCTTTGTTACTTTAAAAAAAGACACGGTAATCTCACCATCTAAAATATGGGGCCTTTAAAAAAAGGTTTGGGACTTGAAGAGGAACCTCTATCCTCAGATCCACTACAGTGTCTTTGCTCCTCTTACCTGGAACCAGGTGGCTCCACTGTTCCTCTGGCGGCGGCGGCGGCATTGGAAGCCGTCCATCTCCTCAGCAGATTATCTGTGTGGATGAGGAACATGTGTGAGACTTTCAGTTAAACATCAAGTTGAAGCGCTCACCCAGTCACCGTGGAGACCGCTTTGTGTTGGTCGTTCGAACGATCCGAGAGGACGAGCGTCAAATGGGCCGTGAAACCGTGAGGAAGCTTCGGTGTTGTCCAGGCATGCTGGGGGATTTAGGACGGTTTGACATCCAGGCGAACGGGACAGATGCCTCATGCTAAACATCTTGAATTTCATGGTTTTTAGAGCAATAATACAAGAGGGAAATTACAGTCAAGTAATCCTTAATTATAAATGATAAAGATTACAGCAGTCAATTATCAATAAATTCACTTGCTGTAGTATTTGAAGCTAAAATCTGTGTAGTTTGGGTCCAGGGTTGCAAATAAGGAAGACACAATAAACATGACTGTATGAGTGCGATTGCACGGCTGTTTTACAGGTGCTTAAACCGTGTCCATCAAACTAGTGAAACTTATCAATTGGTCAGTGCTAATGAAATCAACCAAGCAAACAGAATTATACTTGGATATTTTGCAGAATACAAGGTTGTCTAAACTTAACACTTCACCCCAAAACCAGAGCTACACTCATCCGAGACACGAGGTGGACAACTTTTACTACTTCAATTCTTCACACACAAAGAAGTTTCCAAATGTGGCAGCCATTTAAAAACAGCCCAAAAAGTGATAATAAAACTACACCAAAAACTCACCAAAAGTACAACCACAGCCTCCTCCACAGCTCAGGTATTCACTGGAACACTCAGCTAACCTTCCTCACACATTTATTTTTGCTAAAATATCACAAATATCAGCCACTTCCTGAAGTCCTTTGAAAGTTCTGCTGCTCATTGGCTAACCTGATGCCATGTGGCCTGAGGACAGCCAATGAATGAACACACATGAGTGAGTGACAACTAAGGCAGCCAATGAATGATGAGCTGCATGGCTTCGATTGTGAGTTTTCTGGTGAAAAGGCAGCATTCCTTGTAAAAGAAGGTTTGGGTTTTTTTGCATTCCAATGACACTTTTCGGAATCAAAGGACAACAAATGGGTTAAAATAAATGTTCCACTTACATAGTCATAAGAACTACATCTGTTGGCCAGTAAACACAACAAACACAATTTAAAGGAACCACAATCGGCAGACAGCACTGGACTCTGAGGAGAGGTTCACATTTTTAAGTCTGTCTTAAAGGGCCAGTGTGTAGAACTTCAGGGGATCTATTAGCAGAAATGAAATATGATAATAATAATTATGTTTCCAAGAGTGTGTAATCTCCTGAAACTAAGAGTTGTTGTATTTCCCTCTGCCATGTTGCTCCGCCATGTTTCTACGGTAGCCCAGGACGGACAAACCAAACACCGGCTCGAGAGAGAGACTTTCACATTTTTACGTTCAGTTGATTTTTATCTGCAACCGCACCGCTCGATGTCCCCAAATCCTTGAACCAAGCACCATGAAGCCCAACAAGTAACCAGTGTGCACCAGTATGGACCAGCGGCCTTCACTATAACCAGCTCCTGCAGGAATCTGGTCTCGGCTTACAGGCTGCATTGTAGGTTGACACGCGATCTCATCATCATCTCCTGTCCTCTCTTCCATTGTGCTTCTCTCCAACTGGGTCAGCGGCCGTGCGCCGCATTGTGTGTGTGACCCGAGCACCGCGCCATCCAGGATTCCAGACACGTTTCCAGACACGTTTCCCATTCTTCTTCGCAAACAACTGCCGGGTTAATGAACACACGGCACGGCACATAACATCCCACCGAGCATGTGTGGATATCCAGCACAGCTGCTGGAAGGCTTTCATGCAGAGCTGGGGGGTGTTAATCATTTCCCACAGTGTCATTAGAGGGGCAGATGGAGGCACGCGGAGGACTCCCCTCATTGGTCTGGCGCTAACTGAGGCGGGAGGCAGCGAGGTGGCCGATTGGCTACCTGGAGACTGTACGAGGTGTTCAAATATTTTCAGACTGATGATCTTAGAAAGAAAAACAAAAACAGAACATTTTCTACATTTTTTCAAAGTTTCTGAACCGTAAATACATTTCATATCAGCCTCGTATCACGGTTGCAGAAACACACATGTGGTTAACGTTGTGGAACGATTGGTGAGTTTTGGGCAACTGAACTACGTGGTTGAGGTTACAGAAAAGATCATAGTTTGTGTTCAAATAACGTAACATCGTAACCAGACAACACAGCTACCGTAAATAAAACAACGTTACGTAACTAGCGTAAAGTCAACGTTTACTTTTGGTTTCACACGGGACAGAAACACTGGACTCCAGGTGATAGTCCTGTATTTGTTTGACTCATTCCTTCGAGGATTTTCTTGCTCTTTGTACTCGTTATTATACCACGTCATTTTTCTATAGCAGTTGGTAATTGTACTACGACACTTGCTCTACGTTAACAGTCAACGTATCCGTGGTTTGCAGAAACGTACAATTCCAACATGTGTTTTCTTGGCGACTGGGCTGCTCATTACTTTGATGAATCAGAAAGCGTTACTGTGAACTGCATCAATAAGCTCGACAGGCAGTTACCGTGAAAAGCTTTTTATTTTTTAAAAGGAGACAAAACACAATAAACTTTGGTATAAAATACTTTAATAAATAATAAGATTGTTCTAAGAACAAACAAAAAAAAAATTCCACTAACAAACCAAGACTTTTACCAAATTTTTGTACAAAATAATTACAATGTTCTGCACATTCAGGTCCTCCTGTGGGACTCACACAACGTAGGATTTACTGGCAGAATATGAATTTGGGTTCAAAATGATTTGCATTATTAACAAAAACAGCGAAATGTTCGTCCACAAACAGTGACAATATTTGACTTTTGTTTTTATAATGTGATGCTAAATGTTTGTGTTCTTAGTGCAGAAACAGACTTTACAAAACACTGGACAACAACCACAACAGCAACAAGTTGTTCCCTTCATTAGACCAGAATAGATACATGGAGGAGAGGCGGGGCTAAACATTTAGGACTCGCACTCGATTCCCATTCAAACCTCACACCTTTTGATTCGTCTAGAAGGGGATTCGGTGTCTTGCAATGGGGCACTTGAGGAGGTGGGGTCATACTTACTGAACACCCTGGCATCCACACTGTCTACCGACTGTAAACTATATATATAGAGAGAGAGACTGGCAGCAGAGCTTTTTACGTTGTTTGGACCCTGTGCCCTGTAAGGGATTAAGATATGATGAAACAAAACTGGAGGCTGTGAAATCACATCCCAAAATCAAAAGCTGTATATCTGAAGGGTTAGGGTTTGGGTTGTATTTCCATTATAATAATGGACAAAAGAAGTGCAGCAAAACCATTTCAGTTCCTTTAATTCCTGCAACTTTCAACCTGCAGCATCGACGGTAACAGTGAACCAAGGAGGACGATGGGTTCAGGCTGAATGAACGATTGACGTCTCATTTCTTCAGAGTTTGGTTGAGAGACCTTTAAGCTTTCGCCATTTTCAAATATCGTCACACAAAAAGGAAACCATGAAAGCTGGCCTGATGGCTGCTGTAGTACAACCTGTATGTGCTCGTACAGAGAAGCCTGTCGGACGCGAAACAGCATGAAATGTGGAAAAAGCTGAAAAGACAATTTCAGAAGAATCGTCAGTGGACTAAAGCATCATTCAGAAGCTGTCTCACTGAAACACAGAGCATTCAAATCGGACATTTAGAATTATTTTTGGAGGGTCGGCCCATGATTTGAATTTGTGGGTGTGGAACGGCTCTAAGTTTGCACACTGGGATACATTTGTTAAAAGATAAATGGCTGTATTTGGGTGATTTTTGCAAGGATGGCCCATAAGACAAACATTTGTAGGTGTAGAAAAACCTTTTTGAAATAATTTTAACTCTCAGAAACTTACAACTTAATTTTCAACGACGGCCTGTCGGTTAAAAACAATAACCTCTCACAAAGATTAACAAACAGATCGACATTCTCAGTGTTTGTGTTTCTGTAACAAAGAATCACAACACGTAACGAAAAACCGGCGCTCCTGATTCAGAGGGACCCTGGACTCTGAACATCTGTATAAAACCTGTTATAGTGTCGACAGACACTGATGAACGGAATGACATCATTTAAAATTAAAAAAAACAAGCACGAAAACAGTCTTTAGAATAACTATGATACAAAGCATCACTTAAGTTACTAAATTCAAATATACACAGCCATTTCTTCATATTTACATATGTACATCGCAAAGACAATAACCTTTGTGTGGTATGAAGAGTTGTTGCTCGGACATCTTTCCCTTTATATGTAATTAAATTCTGCATAAACTTTAAAGGAGGAAAAACAAATAAAAGAAATAAAAAAAAATAAAAAACAACAATAATAATAATAATAATAATAATAATAATAATAATAATAATAATAATAATAAGGGCTGAAGGCACTTTTCTACCGAAGCAAATACTGAAGAATCATCATGTTGACTCGCAGGAAGCAGTGACATCATTATTTTAAAGGATATACGTAAGAACCTTTAAGCCTCAACACAAAATGGAAAAGATGTTTATGAATGTAAACAACAAAAAAAATGCTCATGCCAGGTATCATACAGTGGATTCTCTGTGCCAACTGTCAAGCACTTAAATGTATATAAAATCTTTTTTTGTTTTTTTTGTTTTATATAAAAAGTCATGATGTGAAGTGTAGAAAAGGCCCGCAGGTTTGGGGCTAAGGCAGACAGGAGCCGAACGCACCAATCGGTAGAAACAATGTGAGCAGCTGCCGGCGGATGACCATCAGTCCAAAGAAAGGGAAGCGTGAGCTCGGATGAGGCAAAGCGGAAAAGTACGAAAACAATAATAATCTGGAGCGGTGAAAAAGAGAAGATTCTTCTTGATTCCAGAAGTATGACGAGAAGCCGTGATTTTTATTTGTCTTTTTTTGTTTATTTTTCTGTCTTTTTTATTTGCGAATTGGCTTTTGGTAAAAACAAGCCTCCGTGCTGCAGACAAAGTAGTTAAATAAGGTAAAAATAGAAAATGAAAGCATTTGTAATCTTCACTTTTTAAGAGTTGAGAAGTCAGTGACGTTGAAGACATCGCAGTTCTTTCCTTTCTTTCTTCTGCTCCGTCCTCCGTGTGTTCATACATAGTGGTCTTTAATGTCCTCGCTGAGCTTGGCGGCGTTCAGGTTTTTACACCGGTTGTCTTTGGGGCTGTACCCCGTCCGGTGCGGCGCCTTGACCGGGCCGCTGCGTGAAGTGCAGATGACCCCTCCCTTACCCGTCACCCCCCTGTCCTGCGCCCCCGCCGTGGAGCACCTCTGCGGCGGACACTTCTCCCCCACGCCCGGTGCCCTCTCCTCGTCTTCCTCCTGCTCCCCCTCCTCCTGCTCCCCTTCCTCCTCGCCCTCGGCCCCGTCGCACGTCCTGTCGGTGGGGGCCATCAGTTTCTTGCATTCGTACTGAATGTCTTTGTCGCGGTTGTCCTTGAGGGCGTTACTCGGCCTCAGCACCAGCTGGTTGTTGACCGCCGTGTCCTCGGATCGGGGCGCTCTCTCGCGCTCTTTCTTCCTCTTGCGGGTCCACCAGATGCAAACGACGATGCAGAAGATCCAGAGGACGCTGAAGACGACGCACAGCACCGGGACCAGGTAACCTGAAGGAGGACGTCGAAGGAGATGTTAGAGGGACATTTCTCTGGAAATAAAGAGCACTTGACCCCGTTTTGATTCACATACTCAAACTAGAAAAGTGGCCTCAGTAGAGGTCACAACAACAACAACAGTCCGAATGTTGCCTTTATGAACGAGGTAAGACTTGTTTTTAGCCGATTGCCGGAAATGCATTTAGCTACTGAGCACACTACTTGTTGTGTGCTCCTACCGGCCCTTTAAGAGGAGTGAGGAGTCAGAAGTCAATGACGGAATAAAACAGAGAATAAAATTGTCATGAATGAGTACAGAAAATATTAGCCTGATGGGTGCAGTAGTATGTAAGATTAGCCGCGGACAGACACACCCACACACACACACACACACACACACACACACGGACACACATGATCTCCCTACAGGATGATGCCTGGTGGCGATAAAGATGAATTTACATCCAGGACCCCCCAACCCATGTCTTTAGGTCTAGAGGACAGACTTTTGATTCATTCCCAGTTTTCCACGTTTCATGATTTGTAACAAAGAACTAGAGACATGTGACTCACCAACAGGCGGCGGCTCCACCTGCGTCTCCACTTTGACCTCCACCACGGCCAGCATGACGGTGCTGTTGTGGCGTTTGGAGAGGGCACCGATGATGGCGCTGGCCGCCTTCTGGATCTGTCCTCGATCACCGTCCTTCGATCGCCCGTCCTGCTCAAAGGACTGAGACACACATGGAGGACAGGAATCAATTCGTTGTGCATTTACACTGAATTCCACATGTTACAAAAAAAGAAAGAAAGAAAGGGGAGCAGCTTGAGGCCACATTTGAGATTTGGGGTAAATTTGTTTTTGACAGTCCAGTCCCACCTCTCAACTGCATGGCTTGTTTTTAAGGAAGTTCTGAGTAAATTCACTCAGAGAGCTCCTGATCTACTTTGTAAACTGGTTTTGTAGTTCAGTGATTCAATCAGAACAGTAGAGAAAGAAAACTAAGCTCATTTGCCGCATGGTCAGTGTGGCTGGAGGCTATGCAGGACAAGAAAACAAGAGAAAGAGAAAAACACATTCATCCGTCAGAATAAAAGATTCTCATCCTAACATCTGGCAGGCCTCGGACACCCCCCGCTGAGACCACAGAGGGTGGAGTTAATTGCCTAATAAGGTGCTGAGGGTGAGAGCAAAGGCTGGGGGGAGGGGGGGGGGGGGATTAGCTGTGTGCTGCGCAGTTCAATTAGGACAAACAATAGAGAACAGGCCAGCTGTGCTCCCCGCTCGGGACAAACACTCCTCTTTTCTTCTCCTGAGACAATCAGCAGCTCATTCACACACCTCTAGCCCCGCCCCCCCACCGTGACGGACAGACCGCGTCACGGCAACGCTGACTGTGACCGCAATGATCATCTGCTGAGAGTTGGGATCGAATGTCGCTGTTGTGTTTACTTCACTTAATCATTATTTTTGGAGGCATTTTTTTTGCCTTATTTAGATACTTTAAGTGACGGTGAAGGGAGAATAATAAACTGTTGAGATTACATGGTTTGCTCCTTAAAGCGGACCGATGGAGGCAGCCCACTAAACAGATTCTATTGTCTCCAGATAACCACATGTATGTTTTTAGCTTCTTATGATCCGTCCCCTTGAATTGGTCAGTATGATTTAAACTAAGTGCTGGAAACCACCCCCCCCCCCCCACCTTCTGTCTGAATAATAATGATAATAAATAAAACATTTAATAAAAAATAAATGCTTTGTACGTCACATTTCATACAGATAATTTAAAAATAAATAAAAACAGAAAACCTTACTTTTAAAAATAAATAAAAGTGGTTGGAAGCACATTGGAAAGAATTTCAAAAGCTGAATAAGAACTGGAAAACATTTTACATTCAACATTAAAAAAACATGTTTAGACATAAAAGTGTTATTTAAAACGGTTATTTAAAAGAAGCATGTGGTCTCTATAGCGTCTTTAGGATATTCCAGCATAACTGAAGAAAAGCAACATCTCCAATAAGGTGCGACGTGTCCAACAATAGTTCTACTGGTTCATGAAACAGACCAGGTGTGAAAAGTACGAATGTCCTGAACTCTCTCAAGCTCTCCTTTTTGATTCGTTACCCGTGTGTCACATTCGATGATTTATTTTGTGTCTGTCGAGTTTGAATGACGGGGAGGTTACGTTACAGCTTCCGTCAACGGAGTCTGGTGTCTTTGAGGAGCTCATTTAACCGTTTCTTGTCACGACTAACTCTGAGATTTAAGGGTTTAATTCAACCAAACCAGAGCTGGTGATTGATGGAACAGTGGAAAGACAAACGAAGACGGTTTTGGTGAGTTTTAAATGAATGAAGTGTGTTTTGACCAACAGCAAGGTAAACTTATGGTTTCTGGTAATGGAGTCCTGCGGCTATGAGGAGTGCTGATTTTATTTATTATCGATCCACTTCAATGTGCGTCGTGTTTCCATCACCTCCAATCAGAGCAGGAGCAGTTCAATTACCGAGAATACTGCAGAGTCCTTCGTCCCAGCGATGAATCCTGATTTGTAACCTTTTCCACTGGAGACCGAAGCCAGATGTTAGTGGGTGTTCGTGGGTTTTCGGTCCAGTGGTGAAGCGGCTTATTTTTTTCGCCCACTTCTTGCAGTGTGGCCATTCTGAACAAGTATAAATATTTCTGCATTCAGACGGTCGGACGACTCTGGTTTATAGGATGCAGACGAAAAATAAATAAATATCTAACTTAGCTCCCGAGGCTGAACGTTGCTTCCAAACATTTAACTAAAGCTACTTGAAGACCTGTTGACGTTCCTTCCAACACACTGGACGCAGCCTCAACATGTCCAGATAAAGCAGAGGACGCTTCACTCTCCGGGAGGAAGACAAACCCAGCGCTCATCTTTCTCACACACACACACATTTAGACATATTGAACCACTTGTTCCTCGCTCAGGTCGGAGGCCTCTCAGCAGAGCGTTTCAGGGGTTTTACAAACACACCGAGAGCCTTTGGAGAAGAGAATAAATCGACTCCCCGAGGCTCGCCGGGATTATAGAGATTTCACCCACACTTGGAAATGAGCGCTGACATTTCGCTGCAACACGAGTCGCCAGAGTGGGAGTGAGGTTTTTTTTTTATGTTGTGGAGTTTGGGTGGATGTCAGGTTCGCCACTCCTTTTCCTGTATCTGTCGCTCAAAACAGGCCTGCAAACATCAGAGGAGCAAGAACTAATCCCCACCATTAACAGCTTAGAGCCCCTCGAGTCTGGGTGGCCGAGAGAGGAAGAAGCAGGGAAGAGAGAGAGAGAGAGAGAGAGAGAGAGAGAGAGAGAGAGAGAGAGAGTAGAAAAGACAACAACAAAGACGGAGAAAGAAAAAAAGGAGGAGAAAGAGAAGCAGAGGCAGAGCAGAGATCAGCAAGGTGTCCCAACAGAAACCCAAATCTCATCCAGATGTTGTTAAAAGCTTCAAACGCCTCTCCCTCTTCTGTCTTTTCCTTTTCTCTTTCTTCTTTCTCTTTTTGTAACAAAGAGGGAAGAGCCATGAATACAAAAGTTCCGATTTTTCTGGACTCCTCTGGAAACGATTTGCAGTGACAAACTGAGTGTGATTTCATAAAGTGGGGGAAGAAAAGAGGGAAAGTGAGAGAGTCTGAAGCTGCAGGTGTGTGTTACTTATATACCTGCATGAGCTGTTTACGTCATGTATTTATAGATCAAACTCATGGATGTACAGTAGAGTAGAAAGTGGTCTACATAATCTGGTTGAACTGCTCGTTTCTCGTGCTGCTCGACTTCGTTGCAGCATTTGCAGTGTTCTTAATGTCGTCGTAAGTGGTGGAAAGAAGGGACGAGAGGGGGCTGATGTTTGAGTTACCGCGAGGAGCAATCTGAGCCAGAGAGTCCTTCTAAAGCAAACCTTCATCAGCAGACACATTTACATTGTTTTCTTTGTATTACTGTTCATGAAATTAAAGTGAATTCATTCACAATCGAATTTCAGGCTTCAGAGACACCAGAGATCAGAACTGCATCTGATAGAAAGTAATAATGACTTTTTCGAAATATTTCTATCAGCATTGTTACTTTTTTGTATTTTATCTTTTTGTTGTATCCAATTGTCGATCAATAGACCGTCTCAATAACGCATATCAATGTGTGTGTGTGTGTGATATTCACCATGGCGACCTCCACGGCGTCACTGTTGGAGTAGGACAGATCACAGAGGATGAGCAGCGCTCGCTCCTCGGCCAGCGTCTGAGTTATGGGGAGGTACCTCAGCTCGGAGCAGATGTTCTCTACAGTGGTGCCCTGCGACGCACACACACACACACACACACACACACACACACACAGATTAGTATCTGCACTGCCGGCGAGCAGCAATCAGCTTCTAATTCCTCCTAAGTCTGTTTCAGATGCAGCCAATCAGAGCCCAGCGGGGGGGGACTGTGTCTCAGATCTCAGATCAGTATCGTGTCAGAGGAGCGGACTCATTTCCATTCATACAACTCTATCCAGACCTGCCGCAGAGGTATCATGATCCAGTAGTAAACAAGAAGAGAGGACAGATCGGACACTTTGAATGGAGGTTTATGGACTTTAGGTCTCGCTGCTGAGTCAGCTTTTTCCCACCACATACAAAAGTTTTAATTTTTCAACAACAAAGAAGATATTCTATTGTTAAATATAACTTATTTTTTTACCATTTTTCCCTCTTTCACTCAGACCCAAAAGGGAGGATTAATAACTACAACACTTATGGGTCCTGAGAAGCTTAACCCTTTAGAACAAGACCTCCAGTAGGAGATTGGTGTTTGCACGATCTTGTTTAAATGGTTAAATAAACGTTAAAGACGGACAGGAAGTCCCTCACCTGCGGCACTTTGTCCTTCTTGAAGATGAGCGTGATGCGAGCGCAGCTGTTGTCCAGGTAACCGCTGTTGGGCTCACACTTGGTGTGCATGGGCGTCGGCGGGTCGGGCGTCGAACACACGCCCCACTGGTGGCACGGCGGCGAGAAGCAGGTGAGGAACTGATGCTCCACGCACTCGTGACCTCCGGGGCAAGACGGGGGGTTCGCATCTGGGGCGGGCGGAGCCTTTGGGAGGAGGCAGGGCCGCCGACCGCACCTCACCTGGAAGAACACGACACCTCAGTGATCATCTGGTCGCGTCGCTCACAAAAACTGGCCAAACTGATTAGAAGTTGTCGAGGCCTGACCTTGGAGCGGAGGACGTAGCCGTTGACACACTGGCAGGCGTTGCACTCCTCCTCCCACCGGCTGCCGTGAGGAAACTGCAAGCCGGCATGACGACACGGCTTCCCGAGTCCGATGACTGGAGGGAATAAAAGGAGGAAGTTGTGAGTATTCTTTTTTACTTAACCGATTACACTGCAGGAAACGTTGCGATTGAGGGTTTACGGTACTCACACTTCTGACAGCGAGGTCCGGCGTGTCCCGGAGGACAGACGCAGCGGTAGCCGTTGATTTCATCCACGCAGGTCGAACCATCGGCACAAGGAGACGACTGACACTCATCTATGTCTGTGAAAAGAACACAGAGCTGTAATTAACACACATGCCAGAGTTAGACTTTCACAGGAGCAGGTAATGAAATACCTAATTGACAGACGAAAGAGATAAAATATGAGCTGCAGAAGCGTTTCAGTGGAAGTACAACCTGTTGTTTTTAGTCGAACTTGCTCAACTTTAGCGGAGAGAAAACGGAGCTTTGGGAGATGTGAATGTTGAATTCAAACGTCTTCAATGATGGAACTCAGAGGGATCTTTTCTTTGCACAATGGGGTTTCATAGCAGTTTGGTTTGAAACGCTTCAATTGGATAACACTCTGGTTGTGAAAAGGGCTTTTCTGAAGAGATTTCTCCCAGAGGGCCGCGGGAGAGCGCACCGGCCCGTCTGATCGGACCTCGGCTCAGCGCGGAGGGGAGAGGTTAAGACCGCCTTCCTAAAAGGCTAATCTGTCGACCCGAAACAATCGGCTCGCGTTTCCCCCCCAGCCGCGGCCTTTCACCTTTGACCCCCTCCACACACGCCCCCCCCCCCTCCAGTTCCCAGGGACTCACTGATGCGACAGTCCGGTCCGGCGAATCCCGGGGCGCATTCACAGCGGAACCAGTTGACGCCGTCGACGCAGATGCCGCCGTTGTAGCTGCAGAAAGGAAACAGAGACACAACGTGTGACTTCACTGCTGCTGCAGACGCAGAATAAACGAGGAAATGTCCCTCCAAACAATCTGTGGACATCAGACCGGCAGAGACAATAGTTCCAAGCATGCTGAACCCTGTTAAACATCCACTCCTGCCTTTGTGCATTTAGAGTCTCATGTCACAGTTGTAGGATGTGTGTGTCCGTGCTGTTACATAGAAGTTGTTTTAGGGTTTTCTCTTCCCTACGAGGACATTCAAAGTATAGCTTATCAAACAGAGATGGAAAAAGAGAATTCATTCTTGGCTTTTTCCTAAACTTCCTCCCCGAGGGGGAAAAACCTTCTGCTTCTCTTTGCAGGCGAGCTTTTAAAAAACTATAAATCAATGCCCTCCGTCTCAACCCTTCCCTCTGGTAGCTGATACATCTGATTTTTGAGAAGTGATTGTGGCGTCCCTGACAGGAATACCGGAGCAGTAATGTTCAGACTGATATCTGCTGTTTATTGCACACTTTAAACCAAAAGTACTGCAGAAAATAAACTTTGCCTCAACCTGCCCGCTGAGCCGCGTGACGTCAGCTCAACAGTTTAAGCTCGTTCACATGGAGCTGGAGATTTCCAATGACACCACTTCACTTTATCTGTAGAACTATCATTCAAGAGAGTCACTAAACACGTTAATAATAGACATAGATTAACGTTCTCTTCTATCGCTGTTTTTTTTTTTTGCCATATTCTATTAAGAATGTTCATATTTTTATCATCTTTATACCAGTGTACTTTATTTATCGTTGTGCACAAATCACCCATCACATGTGCATCATTAAATCCTATCAACACAACGTCTTAAGAAGGGACCAGTTTGTAGAAGTTTTTCCACCGGTTCTGACAGAAACATCTCCTCCTGCTCCTCATCTTCAGACCGAACTAGAACTCCCCTCAGATGAAGCTCCACCACCATCAGAGGCTGGATGGTGTGAGACTCGTGTTCGGCCCTCTGGGCTTCAAACTATCGGACTTTTTTTTTTATTTCCCCAGCGTTTGCAGAGACTCTGAGTGTCGGCAGGCTGAAGCTGATCCCTGATCAATGTCCAGACTTCATATGTAAATCCCTGCAGACCACATACTGAGCAGCCTCCCCCAACACCTCCACTCCTCACAGCTACCCCGAGGTCTTCACATTCTCCTGCCCCCCTCTCCCTGAACCCCCTCCTCCGAAAAACCAAAACCACCACTAATCCACCGTCAGTCATTGAAGAGGCGGGTGAGGAGGAGAGAAAGGGGGGGGGGGGGGCTTTAGTCCTGGGCAGCCTCTCAGAGAGGCTGTCAGGAGTCACTGGTTTCTGCTTTAATATCGTCAATAAAAATGTCAGAAACGTCTTGTTTTGTTCGATCAACACCCAACACCCCAAATATGATGAATTAACAACAATGATATAAATCAGAAATTATACGAAAGCACAAATCCTCACATCAGAGAAGGAAAAATCCCGTTTTCATCCAAAACCTTTAACGGGAAGATCGGCAGCATGAAATCAGATTTGCAGAATGAGAGCAAAGTGTGAGAGTCTCTGGGAAACCCTGTAGCTGCTCCGCTTCATACGCTCACCACCAAACAATGCTTCTCTGGCTGCTAGAGTTGATCCAGAGTGACTCACAAAAGATGCAAACGTCAGCCGAGCTGATGTTTCTACATTAAGAAGAGCGAAAGGAGAAGATGAAAGGTGGCTGCACCCAGCAGAGATAAATAGCTACTAGAGTTTAGGGCTGCGGTCCACACCACCTCGGCTGAATCAGCTCCCAAAGATCAAGTGAGGTGAAGTTCAGAACAGATCACAGACGTCATGTTTACACCAAAACAGACAATTAACAGTGTGCCAATGGAGAGAGAAGAGGTGACGATCTGTCTGCAGGGCATCCGACTGATCAATGTTTGACACCAGAAACAGGTTTCTACAGGTCAGCTTCTTCTGCCTGTAGAACCAGTTAAAAGAATCCAACAGACAGTATTTAAGCTGCAGCCATCAGCCTTCAATAGCCGTTAACTGAAAGTAAAGCCACAACCAGCAGCAAAATATTGCATTTTTGCTAAAAAAAACATTTGAGATGATAATGAAAATGAATCTGTCTTACCAGGGATGTGGATTGCAGTCGTCGACATCTGCGAGAGAGAAAAAACAAAATATCAATCAGTAAGTTTAGAATTTAAATTCCTGCCACAAGGAAGTGGCAGGAATGTGGAACTTATTCAACTTCAGGTGCAACAGAGATGGTCAACAAAGCAGTAGCTTAAATACTTAAGTCATTTAAGAGTTGCTTTACATTACAGTCATTATGTAACTTGGTGCTAAATAATAAGCAGCTGAGCTCAAGCTCACGGTGGTTCAAACTTTAAAGTGATCATTTATTCACAGTATTTTTAAGGTGAATATGGATCTCATGTCCACCATCCATCCCTCGTGACATGAACACGGCCTCTAACGGAGACGTACTCTGTGCACAGCTGGATCCCTCCCAGCCGTCCTTGCAGATGCAGGTGAAGGCATCGCCCCCTCCGACACACGTCCCTCCGTTCTCACACGGACCCGAGTCACATGTGCTGTTCTTGGCTAAAAAACGAAAAACCAGAGATTCCCTTTTAATGACAATGTTGTTATTCAGACCAGCGCACAGCGGGAGAGCTGCTCTCTGGCCCGTGATCACAGTCCGACAGAGCGTCACCACACAACATCACGCCGGTGTTATGGATCAGCAGCCGTGTGAGTCTCTGACCTGTGTTGCAGGTGCTGCCGCCCCAGCCTGACGGGCAGCTGCACAGGAAGGAGTCTCCGTGGTCGTAACACGTCCCTCCGTTACTGCAGGTGGTGGAGTCGCACTGGCTCTCACCTGAACAGGAGGCAGCATTGGGAGGAAGAGGGTTTTAAGAGGTTTCATTTGACTCTGTGAGTAGCTTTGAAGTACATGTTCAGAGGGGAGGACAAGTCTGCACAGCAGCCGGGGAGGAGGGCACCACGGCTCAGAGAAAAGATTAACAGGCACTATAACAATTAAAAATATAGTTTTCATAAACTATTGCAACTTTATCATACCATTTTCTATGACGCCCAAGTCTAATGCCTTATAAACATACTAATAGTATGTTATAATATTATATAATCATTGTTTATCAAGTGAAGTCAAAAAGATATCGTTAAATCTATGCAAAACTAACAAAAGGTCAAATTAATTTTCACTTTATTTAAAGCAAAGAATAACGAGTGAGAGTAACTTAGGACAGAGATCATAGTGATGATGAAAAGATTGTAATGTAGTACAACTATGGATGTTATAGACTATAAATAAAATAATGCTTATGGATGTTTTACAAACATACTAAAAATCAATAAACATAATTATCATTATCATCAGTAAATAACTAGTATCTAAAGTTGAATTCACCACTTACTAATGATGGTTATTAGAAAGTGTTAAGTCCCAAACACACTTACGTGAGTGGCAGGTCTTTCCCTTCCAGTTGTCCACACAGTTGCAGTAGAAGTCGTTGAGCAGGTCGACACATCGGCCTCCGTTCTGACACGGGTTCCTGTTGCACTCGTTCACATCTGGAACAAAGCCAAACAGTGCAGTTATTTAAGTTATTGATTCAATATCGATTTGTATTTATCTTCAAATTATTGAATTATTATTATGTTATATTGATGTTTGTTCAGTAGAGTTTTAATTAGGGACACACAGATCCCCCTTTTTCAGTCCCAAAAACCATGGCTTTGGGTATGGGCCGATACCTAGCTAATAATAATAATAATAATAATAATAATAATAATAATAACAATAATAGTCTCTAAAATTAGCCAGAATTACAATTCATATGTAAATTATTTTAATGCAGCAACAAATTGGTAAAAGGTGAAACCTGAATTAAAGTTCCAGTATATAATGTATATAGTATTTAAACTATAGATGGGCCCTGTTGTGAGAGAGAGACGGAGATCATCGCAAACCACTAACATAAATAACAGTGTCGTCTGCAAATGTGCACACTGACCGATTTAGAAGTTCAGAACAGATTTAGGATCAGTCAGCTGGTAACGTTACCACATCGTTCTGCTTGTTTTCATCTCCACAACAAATCCTCCATTGTTTAGTCTCAGCCTGCTGATCGTCCCTCTGCTGCTGGAGGCCACTGATTGATTCTCTCAGGATATCTGATTCACCGGCAGCATGACGGAGCAAACGCTCTTCCCTAAAATGTGCATACCTGTGCTGTTTGCTCACGTCGAACCCCAAACACCCAGTTCTCTCTGACACACACACACAGTTACTCACACAATTACACACACATACTCACCAACGTCACATAGACTGCCCTCCCAGCCGTCTGGGCAGAAACACTGGAAGGAGTTGATCCCGTCGATGCAAGTGCCTCCGTTCTTACAGGGGGATGACGCACAGTCATTGATGTCTGCAGGAGACAGGAGAGATATTTAGGGATGTTAGCTTCTTTTTTTACTTAGTTATTAAGTTATTAGTTTGTTTTAAGTCTGTTATTTGTGTCTTTTATGGGAAGTTTTCATGTTGTTTTCAATGTTTTGCTGTTATGTTTGAAAGTCTGTTAATTGTTTCTTTTATGTGTGAAACCAGGACTCCCTCCCTTAATCCCCTGAATAAAAAAAAAAGAAAAATAGATAAAATCCAAAGAATTTAAAATATATACCAAAATATTTTTTAATTCCAGATTTTTTGCCTATTTTTCTTCTGTGCACAGATACAAATTGAGTTAAGGCTGCACGTCAGTTTTTTGTTATTGTTAAACTGTCTGATGAACAAATATCTTTGCCCACTTGCTGTATGAGCATCAGCTTTGTGTATAAAGTGGGAATATATCAAATTGCAATCACTGCGTTTTTATCTTTTTAAACAAGGTAAACAAATGTCTTACAAAACTACTTGTGTTCCTGTTACTATTATCTCTTGAGAACGAGAGACAATGGGTGAGTTTGTTGGAAACAATTCAAAGCATCCTGTGAGCATACAAAACAAAAAACCTAATAACAGGCAAAATCATTTATCAGTATTTTCCTGCTAATGTTTTCCTTCAGATTTCCTTCTGTGATTAAACTAAACTAAGAGCGACGAGAAGTGAAACTGGAGTCTGTATTACCGTAATACCGTAAGAGTCATGTGGTTCCCAGTGATGGTAAATATAGTCTGTGTGTTACATGTATTTGTGTGTGTGTGTGTGTGTGTGGAGCTAACAATGACTCACTCTCGTGGCAGTAGGTGCCAGTGAATCCCGGCTCACAGGAGCAGCTGAAGTTCCCGGCAGGTAGGCTGATGCAGCGGCCGTGGGGACCGCACACATTGGATGAGATGTGCCACACCCGCTTTTGGGTGTCATTGGTTGCCACGGCTACGGTGCAACTGTCAATCACTTGGGGATACAGAAGTGGGAAAAAGAAAGAGAGGATCAGAAAGTTGGAATAGAGATGATATGTCCTACTTCTGGCTGGTTGATTGAAATCCTGGTGTCTTTGATTGAGATCAAAGACACCAGGGCTCTCCGGGTGCCGTGGTACCTTGACACTGGTTGGTCTTGCAGTGGTCCTTGAGCTCCGAACAGGTTTTGCCCTCGTAATCGTCGGGGCAGCTGCAGTAGAAGTTGCCCATTAGGCTGTGGCACTGGGCCTTGTTGTGACATGGGTTCGGGCTGCAGGGGTCGTTCTGCACCTACAGATGGAAAACAGGGCGGTAGAGGTGTGTTCTCAGCAACAATGAAATGGAGCTGAGTGGTTGTTTTACTCGCTGGATCTAGTCCTCACCTCACAAGTTGTACCAGCGAAGCCCTGCGGGCATTCACACATGAAGCCGTCCAGCAGGGCGTGGCAGCGCCCACCGTTCCTACAGGGACCGCTGGCACAGCGGTTTCTCTGAACCTCGCAGTGCCGACCCACGAATCCCGCCTGGCAAACGCAGCCTCTGGCTCCCTCCTGGAACACAAACCCTGCCGTCATATTTCACTCAAATGCAGATGATCAAAGTGGCAGAGCTTCCAATTTATAGGGTTTTTTTGCCCAATAAAAGGTGAGGCGGTAATTTATCATTAAAGAAAACAAGCACTCAACAGGACACACAAGTCAGAACTTCAACACTGAGCGAGACAGAGATTTGGGAATATTGGGAGCTATAACAACATCAAGGATATTATATTTAATGAAAATGGCAACATGTAGTTAAAAGTTGAAAACCTGGGTTTGGGTGATTCTGTGTCAATCACAACAAGTTTCCCAACGATATATATTAATATAGGACACGGCTCAGTAAAAAATACATTTTTAAACCGAACTATGTCGTTTTAATCTGGCTTTGTATTTCTGTTGGGAACAATAAAAGCTTCAGGCAGTGCAAGTTAGCAACCAATGTTTCAGAACCATAACACCCTCGAGCAGATCATCTGAGGTACTTTGAAGATCTATAATCTTGTTCCAACTCAATTACCTCATCATGTTACGTTAATGAGTATATCAGTTCAGCACCCTTTAAGACGTCAATGTTAACGAAAGCTATAGAAACTCTTGACATTTGTGATTCTCACCTTGCAGGTCCCCCCGTTCTGACACTGACCGTGACAGCTGCTCAGATCTGAGAATAAAAAACAAAATCGAGAGAAAACATGAGGTTTGAGTTTGACAAACCGGGAAGGGGAACATGCATTGGTGCAGGAAACATGCAGCTGCTACAGAGAAGTGGTCAATGCAATCAAAGCAAAGTGATCCATGCCTGAGATGCAGAGGTGCAGTGAGAACATGCAATGAAACCAAACTGCCCCTAAAGATTTCCTCTAAAAGATTTACAACCGTCAGGAAAATCATGAAGTCACATAGGTTAGAGTAGTTATGTCAGGGTGTGGCAGGTGTAAACAGCCATCTAAGAGGCGAGAGAAAGGAGAATGAATGTTCCACCGGCTTCTTTAACTTCCTTCATCGCTCCATCGGAAAAGCCCAAACATGTTACTGTTGTTTTCTGTCCAGATTAGATCTCCAGATGAATGTGTATCCATCGAGGAGCTCAGATCTCTGTTGCAAGCATTGCACGATACAAAAGTCTCAAACATTAGCACGCTGCCAACGCCTCATGGGGCTGTAGTAAAACGGGTTTCTGTGGCTTCCTGTCCATATTGTGAGACTAATGAGCACATACAACTTTAGCTTCGAGTAATATTTGAACAAGAAAAAGCTACGATTATCTTGCAAGCTCAACAACAATACATCTCCGTGGTCTGATCCACTATCTTCCAGCGTACCTCATGAGAGCTGGAAGGTAAATTAGCATTTACCACTGTAGGAGATTTGTGAAACAACTTGGGATCCAGCAACAAAAAGCTACAATTTTTTTTGAGCATCCAGCATGTCGAGGCTCTTAGTCATTCCTACGTTTCTAGGGTCCTTTGTTCCCCAGATTTATATGGCACATAATAGGACCATGACAAAGGGTCCTTTGTTCCCAGGGTTCAATGTACATAGGGTCCTCCCCCGCACCCGCTCTTATTCACAACTTGTCACATACGGACACTTGGTCAGGACCCTTTTGGAGTCATTTAGGTTTAGGCAATAAAACTACTTGGTTTGGTTTAGGAAAAGTTTGTGTTTTGGGTTAAAATAAGTATGTTTTTGACAACCTGGGACTGAGAACAGGCTGGTTCCCCAGCTCGTTTTACTGAACAGGACATACGCTGTTGTGGGAACTCGTCAAAGGGAACTAAGTTAAACTTCGAACAAACATGGAAAAAAAGTCCCTGAAAAATAAAACCTTTTGAAAAGTTTACTTTGTGTAACATAAAATTGAAATGGGAAACACAGGACATTGGGAACATAGAACCTTGTGAACATAGAACCTTGTGAACACAGGACGTTAGGAACATAGAAACGCTCCTGGTCTTAGCCACTTGCATGCTATCAAAGCTCAATAGGAGCTGTTGCGTCTGGCGTTAAATCGTTATTCTAAGATTTTGTCATACAAGAAAACAACTTGCCATTTAAAGCATGAAAGCACTGCTTATTTTGCCCATTAGAGATTATTAGATACGTTAATTTCCTAGCAAGGATTGTTTTTCTTGGTAGAATTGATGTGTTCACATTTTACTGTCCATTATAATAGTAGATACTAATGTCTCCATAATAACAGAAAACCACTGAAACATGTTTTGGCCTTTCAGAAAGACTGATGAACGACTGAAAAGTGAGAAGGAGCCAGTGGAACAGAAGCTAGCGAGCGGAGAGGACAGGCCTCGGGTCTGTCGGTGCTACAGGTGCAGCAGGTGGAAAGAGGCTGAGGACCAATGATTTGCTGGATTGATACTAACTGATGTCACAGTTCTTGCCAACCCATCCACGAAAGCAGGCACAGTGATATCCACCAATCAAGTTTTTGCAAGGGTAAGCATTGAGGCAAGGCTTCCCCGCACACTCATTAACGTCTGCAAAGTGGAGTCGAGAGACACAAGAGAGAATGCATGAGAGAGCTGAGAACCTGCTCAGGAGCCCCGTCACCAAGCGCAGCTTCATGTGGTAAGAACACACTGAAATCATGGTTAAAGGTTGGATGACTTCTCTGAACTCTTGACTTCCAACTCTGTTGATGCGCCTTGAAGGCATTTAATCTGTGACATTGCTGGCTTCATCTACAAAAATGCGTTTTGGTCTTTCAAGCGTAGGACTCCGTTACAGAAATGTTTTGGAAAGAGCTGCAACGCTCGCACAATATTAGACTTCTGTCGCTCTGAAGGAAGTTTTAAAAGGTGCATCAGTCGAGGAATTAACAAGTTGTTTTGCAGCTCAATGATTGTTTGTTTTTAATGCTTTCATTTCTTCCTTCTTCTCATGAGGAAAAAATCATCTTTAATCAACACAAATTCTTAAAAATAGCTGTGAACTTATTCAAATTGTCTCATTCACAGTATTCATGTTAACTTGACTTTATTTCTTTGTGCATATATCGATATGATGATAAAGGGAGACGTTTATTACAGTGTGGCACATTTAAAGTCTCTAATATTCATATTCAGTTGTAACTTGGTACCATGTAGTCAGATTACTTTCATGACTTTTACGGGTAAACAACTCAAACATTGTCAGATAGCCAGAACATTTACAGAGTGAACTTCATGTCTGACAGGGTTTCATGTCTTCCACAGCTTTCCATCGCTGCTCTATCCCCCCCCCGTCCCCCCCCCTCGGGGGTTAATGTCTCTCTATGGCATTCCCTGAAGGCCGACCTGCGGCATTCCAAGTGGTCAGTTTCAGAGGCAGCTATCGCCGCGCCCGCCGCGCTCACTATAAACCGACACAGTGCATTAATACTACTCCCAGGAGGTGAGCGGCACCTGTTGACCTGCTGAAACTAAACACTCCAACCCATTCCCAAAAACCCAACCTCCCCCACAACCACTCCCCCCCCCCCCCCCCCACCACTACTCCCCCCCTCTCCCTCCCAGGTGCCAGCTCGTTCCCCGAAAGGGTGAGCGCTCTGCGAATCTGTAATGCAAACCGAAGCGTTTCGGTCGCTCCCCGCGCGTGTTTACAGGTTATATAGTGTTTCCTGGCTGAGGTCGAAGGGGGTGAGGGCTCCGCTGTGTCGCCTCACCGTAGCGTACATGCAACCCAGCTACGCCCAGTCTGGAGCCAAAGATAACCCCCCACTGGACTGTATTTTGTCCCAAGGCTAGCAGTTGCCAAGCGGGTTATTTTTAGCTTTACTCAAGTCACCTGGCTCGAGTTGCAGATGAAACCCAGCGAGCGTCTCTGCTGGGCATGCATATACACAAACACACACACAAACACACACTCTCATTTGAAACGAGTGGCCCTCCTGCAGTAATACTACTGGCTAAACGACGGGGCGGGATAAACAAACACCCAGAGATGCTGGAACTCTGCAAGCAAATGGTGATTCCTGCAAAAGGAATTCGGACGCATTGGCATTCACTGTAGGTGCAACACACTCACACACACGCCGGCTTCATCAAAGCAAAACATCACCCAACGTGCAACAATGATCTGAATCAGGATTTCAGAAAATTTATTTTTTCCATCTAAAATGTTCCAAAATCTAAATATGAAAATTGCTTAAATATTAAGCAATAATCAAGTAAACACAAACCTGATCAAAGCTATTATCTTTGATCACAACGTATGAATGAGACGTACCGATCTGGCAGGTCTTGCCCGTCCACTGAGGAGGACAGAGGCATTCGAAGCCGTTCTCCATGTCCATGCAGGTTCCACCCTGAGCACAGGGGCTGGAGGCACATTCATCCGTGTCTGAAAACAGAAACCAGACGGATGTTCAGGCCACTATCACTTCAAAAACTCAAGCTTCCAACGGTGACATTGAGTCAGGTTGATCTACTCAACCGGCGGCCTCTTTAAGTCTGAACATTAAGCGGGCGGAACACTGGAAGTAGCCGTTCCTAAACGTTTTATGAATTATAATGTTATCCAGATGTGTTTGTGATTGTAAAATCTAGCTTTTGGCAAAGACTTGAATGAGTTACAGTTGTTTGAAAGAGATGTTTTCACGTTAATGTAGAATAGATTATTAGAGAGGGAATTATAACCTGTTTAACTTCCTACACCGGCTCTAAGCAGCTTTAAATACAAAAGGAAAACTACTAATGTCAAGCTTCAGGAGAACACGAACATAGTTGGTCATTGTTGAAAGAGTGGAAAAACAAACCGATCTGTTTGTGTTGCGTTTTACAATGATCAGCAAGGTAACATTACTGTTTGTGTCAATGGAGTCTGGTGGCTTTGATGAGAGCATATTATTTGTATTTGTTGGTCGTAGACCCCCTCACCTTTAGCACAGGTCGGCCCGGACCAGCCTGCTGGACAGTGACACTCAAAGCCTGACGGGACTTCATGGCAGGTGCCGCCGTTGGCACAGGGGTTGGAAACACAGGCGTGCTCCGCTGGAGAAAAATAAATCAGAGAAAAGTAGGAATGCTCATAAACCTTTCGTCAGATTTCATCCGGCTCCTCAGAACTTCACTCTGAACGTGACGTGGCACAAAAAAGCACGACAGGATTTTTAGGCGCCGGTTTGTTTGATTTAGAGACTCACCGATCTCACAGTTCTTGCCAGAGTAGCCGTCTGGACAGGCGCAGTTATACTCGTCCGGCTCCGTGTTCATGCACGTCCCTCCGTTCTTACAGGGACGGTTGGTGCCGCAGTAGTTTAGATCTGCACAGCGAAGAACACTGATGTGACCAACTCCATATACTCCACGTGAAACACACAGGTACACAAGCTCAGACAGCCGAGTGATGGAACTTCTCATCTTTCTGCACAATAACCTGCTGCTACAGACTCCGCTTCATTATTTATTCTTCCTACAAAAGCATTTTATTAAGAACACAATATCGGAAGATATTTACTAAAAAAGTAATTTCTACTTCAGTCGTCTGCATCTTGACCGATCACACTGTGTCCTCATGCCACTCATGTGGAGTAAGACAGAGCTTTAAAGGAGCATTCCAGTGTTTTTGCATGTAAAAACTTATGTACTAGAAGTCAAAAATACTTTAAATTAATACAATTGTGTGTTTCGCAAAAACATTCTGCACTTCACTTTCCTTCACCATTTGTTTCTTTTCCACGGCATGAAACTCAAATGGCAAACTCTCGACAGTAGCTTGAGTTGTGGAATCCATCACAGTGATTAAAGGGTCAACAATTCGTTTGAAGTCGTGTTTCCATTCAATTGTCAAGCGAACTTTGGGCAAACTTTTGAAATGTCTTCAAAGAAGAAACGTGACTATAAGGTGTGTTTCCATCAACTGGTTTGGAGCGAATAGCCTAGGCTACAGTGTCGTTAGGTCAGAAGTTAGCTCTATAGGCTATGCTTGAGTGTAATCTACCAAATAAACAGAGTAGAAGAAGAAGTAGAGGTTGAGAACCATCTTGACCATCAAACCGTCTACGAGCGAAAAATGGAGAGAGGTCTATAGCAAATTGTTTTAAATGGGCAAGTTTGAATTGTTCTTTTGTGGCAGCTAGTATTTTAAGAGATGAAGACGAGATGAAGACGAGATGAAGACGAGATGAAGACGAGATGAAGATGAGATGAAGACGAGCATTCACACGTACTGAGAATATCTGAGGAGACGGCGGCAGCAGAAACAGCTGATCAGTCATGGGAGTTAAATGTTCGCTGCGTCAGAATGTATTCAGCAAAAACCAACTCAAGCGAGCTGTAAAAAAAAAAGAATTTGCGCAATCGAGGAACTTTTACAGCGTTTCTAACGCGATACTTCACAACGTGCATGAAAATGAGTGAGTGGAAACACGACCACAGTTATCGTTTTGAGATAACATGACATCAATACGACTCAAGCGAGTTTCTGCTCATTGATTTTAAGAACGCATGGAAAACAATCGAAACCAAGGAGGAGAAAGAAATCTGAATTCCTACATCATCATCACAAAACAAATGTAAAATGTCAGGTTAAGCTTGTAGAAACATTAGAATACACTTTGAGACGATCTTAAAGCCACTTCCTGTTGACTCCTATGACTTGCAGATATCCAGAAGATGGCATTATGTGAACATTGTGAGATCTGACCTTTGTCACAGAGCAGACCTCCCCAGTTCTTCTCACAGGTGCACTGCCAGGGCTCGTTGCAGGTGCTGTGAACACAGCCGGGATACGGCAGGCACTCGTCACAGAGCGGCCCCTGCCAGCCGTAGTTACACCTGCAACACACGGCTTACAGTTTCATTCTTTCATACAGATTCCTTCTTTCCTGTCTCATGTGCTTCCTTCTTTTCCTTCCTGAAGTGATCTGAAACCCCAAAGTAGAGAAAGGAGGCAGTATATACCCAACAAGTATATTTCACTCAAATATGCTGATATTGAATTACTTTAATGTGAGTGAAAACATTCCACAGAGAACAGAGTTCAGCGGGTGCAGCAGTGGCTGAGTGGATTTGTTTTTTTACTAAAATAAGAGCATCTTATTTCACAAGCGCACTGACAATGTGTTCCTGTTCACAGCCCCGGCCTGAGGGAATATCACACAGATGCACTCAACGCAGAGGGAGCTGGCCGTGATGAAAAGAACAGTGATAGTTACGTAGTGATAACAAGCGAGTGATTTAATATGTTTAAATGTGTGAAGACACAGAGGAGCGCTTGATGCCAGGTAAACACGGAGAATGCTGTACGTGTATATATATATATATATATATATATAAATATACAAATAAATATATACACATATATATGCTTTTAACCATTTGAACACAAAGACTTCTTCGTGCAGGACATATTGATGAGAAAGAGGACGGATACTGATTGGGTCACAGCAGTAATTTAG